CTGCTAACAAGGATGATAATGAGCTATTCTTAGGTATTTGTGTTAAAAGAAGTAGAATGGTTTCTAGTGACAACAGTGGACCACAAAACCTTCCTGTCTTGCACATCTGGTGTGAGGGCTTTTGTCTCAAAAAGGGGGGTTATTAATGAAAATAAAAATCCTTTCTCACGAGGCATAGCAAGTTAGCAAGGGGGAGGGGATACAGAGGGAATGGAAATCCTGCCCTAATTTATCTAGGCCTTTATGCTGTCACAGCGATAAGCACAAACTGAAAAAAAGGTTTCCAAAAATGGCTTGACTCACGTAGATGTTCTGTGAACTCCTTTCCTGAAGCTGTTATAAATGTAATGGAAGATGAGATCACTTCATTTACGAAGGTGCTTTTACAGATCGTCACCATTTCCCAGGTAAGCACACCCTGAGAGTTTCACCTGTTAACAGCTGATGATTTTAACGCTTGTTTTCACTTGGTTCGAGATCTTCTGGAGGTATGTGTACACTTACTTATTTCCAAAATGTGGTCCTGGATACTGCTTTGCCTTAGCCATTGAAGGAATTCCAGAAGGACTCCTAATGTAAGGCAGTTCAGGTTTGACTGCATGATTGTAAGGAGATGTAGATGTCCCTCATCACTGGAAAGATCAGTGGTGTACAGTGGAACTTTCTTTGTCTGAAGCCTAGAGGGATCTGTATGTACAAGCTGAACAGATAGTTATGAGTAGCTATGACACAAACCAGGATGAAGCACAAGGTGAATGTATTCCATCACATTTAGTTCTTTCACAGCATTTTGTACTAAAGAACTAAACGCTTCGTATTTTACAGAAGGAGTGCTGTCTTAAGAGTGGATGGCTGTATTAATTTCAGTGTTACCTACATTTGGTCAACTGACTGAGGGGCAGGATAGGATGGATGTGGGGAAGGCATTCACAAGACATGGAGGCTCAACAGTTTGAGGGAATTAGATGGTTCAGGCATCTGTTCTTTGTCAATCCTAGAACAGCACGGACAATAAGGACTTTTATTTGGCCTGTGCTAAATATGCATACAAAATGCAGAACATGCTATACAATTTAGAACCTTAATAGTGTTCTCTGAACATCAGGCATTATGCAGAAACCAGTAGAAACAAATAGGAAGTTTTCTGTTTATTAAACATAAAACCAGCAGCTTCAAAGCAATACTCTTTTAACATTTACCTTAAGACTAAGTAATGATAAGCATAGCAAGGTCATTGCTATTGTTTTTAAGCATGAAATGAACAAATTCAGCCATTGATTTTATTAATGAGTTTCAATGAGTTGTCTAACTAATATTGAGTAAAAGTACCAACTGAATAACTGCTGGCACTCTGAAGCCTAGCTTGTAAAGATGATCTAAGGTTTCACTGTGAATTTTTTTTCTCTGAGGATGGTTGTAACTGACATTATTTTTCCATTCACAGTTGCACATAAAATGCTGTGCATGAGAGTGAATGGGAATATTATTTTTTCTCCTTGGGGATTAAGCATCTTTGCTGTATCCAGCCTTTGGAACCAATGATCAGTGCTGTACTGTCAGAGCTGCGAAGAATCTCTATACTTATAATTTCTCTGTTTTGAAATTGTAGCATTTCACCTGATGTAGTTCTTGTATTTAGGAACTGAAGTTCCTTTGATTCAGATTCACATTGGAATCGAAGTCTGGGTACAGTTCTGTAAAGCTAGATAATGCTGGAAGATGGTTAGTTTATTGCATTCTCAAAGGCTTTTTGTTAGGATTTTGGAAGTAAGTAATGGCTTGTGGCAGTGTGAATGAAGATTCACAAATACACCTGCTGGAACTAATGTTTAAACATTCCTAAATTAAAACTATTGGCAAACATATGTGCTAGAAATATTCAGCTTCTTTATGAGCAAAGGAATCTTCCAGTCACATGCATATCAACGTCAATCAAAGAGATTATTGTTATTTTATAATACTGCATTATCATGTATTAAATTATGCATCCATTTCATCTGGCAGTGTTCTGATCAATCATGTGTTGTGGTCTTACTCCATAAAGCCCATGGTGAAGGAGTGAACACCAGGGACTTCATTATTTTTTTGATGCAGAAGGGGCAGAGTATCCTATCTCTGCACATTCATTGTCTGTTGTGAGAAAACCTTGTTTTTAAATATCCAAGGACTTCAGTATTGTTGCAGTGGCTGTCTGAAGAGCATGAGGCTGTTGTAAGTTCCACAGATCAGACAGATAGAAACTTAGTGGGATAAGTTCTGTTTTCTTGTTTGTTCCTTTTTTGTTCTTAAAGTCCTCTTCCTCACCAAATGAAGTTGCCAGAAAAGGAAAAGTGCAATACTTCTCTCTTGACTGCCTAAACAGGCAGTCTTACAGCCCTAAAAATAAACAAGGAGTCCAAAAGGGAAGTCTTGGTGAAATTCGGGCCCTCCCTCGGTGGGAGTTCTGCCATGGATTTCAGTGAATTCAGGACTTTGATGTGTTGGCCAACTGCTGCAGTTTTGTTGATTTTGGCCAGCTGTGCCAGCCACAGCTTGTTCTATGTCCCAGAATAGCTTCTTTGATAAGATATTTACCATTACAAGTATGGAACAGGTCCTCTAGCCAGCACTTAACGTTACAGAGTAGCTGTCATTTAAAAACACAGCCAATACTTTCCTGAAAGTGTCTGTGGGGGTTATTTTTAGTCGTTTCTTCAAATTGATCACGGCCCTCTGAGAAAAAGGCAAAAATACCTTTAGGGAACAAAGGCAGCATTTGGAAGAGTTAATGTTCAGGAGATCTTAAAGCACTAATGTTATAACTGGTGGGTGCGTATGATTGATTCATTTTTAATAAATGTAATTTCTAGAAGGTAATTTAGAATTGGAAGAGATGGAGTTACGCTTGCAGAAGTCCATGTAGAGCTGAATGTGTATCCATAATCTGAGCCCCTCCTGTGATCACCAAGTCAGTTAATAGAGAATGACAGGGATATCGGAGATTTCCCTTTTGGAAATGGAGGCTGAATATCCTTGCGAACTTGGCTCACTAAAATTCATTCAGCCAAAATTTATATGGATACTTAGTGTGTTTTCCAGAACTGAGGCTTTAGCATGGACTTTGGTATTTAGTTTTGCTGTTTCCTAAAATAATTTTTCTTTACAGCAGTAGACTATCTAAAAGATGAAGAATTGTTTCTGTCTCATTCCCTTCCATCTACTCCTCCAAGCTCTTTCAAATTACTGTTTTACAGCCCAAACTGAGGCACTATGTGTGATGATGATGAAACCACTGCCCTTGTTTGTGACAATGGGTCTGGTCTTTGCAAAGCTGGATTTGCAGGAGATGATGCTCCAAGAGCCGTGTTTCCATCCATTGTTGGACGCCCTCGACATCAGGTCTGTTGATACCAGAATGGAAGTGCTGCCTGCTCGTATTTGTGAGACTTGTGGAAGTGATAAAGGATTATTCAGGCAAATCTCCCATTCGTGTTTATGGGAATTGAGCTTGTTAAGAACCAGGTAGTTGAGCTGCATGTCTTTTATGCAGTGAGCTTCCGAGTCCTTTGGAAAAGGTATTCTTCAACTATAAAATGTTGACTGTAGAAGAACATGAATGTTTTAATGATGTGGAGGTGTCTTATGGGAAAAAAACCCACAAAAGTTGCTGTATCAACACAAACAAAAAAGGAAGAACGCTGCTAACACAAGAAACCATATGAATGGCAGTGGTAAAGTCCTTTTATTGTTCCATTAAACAAAAGCAGGGCCCATTAAATGTCTGAAAAATATCTCCGGTGCATCACTTAATCAACTCCAGCAGGACTAGAAAAGATAAATGTGATTTTTCTTGAACTTGAGAAAGGTCTTGCTTGCTTAATTACTTTTCTAACAGTTCCTTTAGAATTAGAAGTTGCCAGTTTTCACTGATTTTGTTCTTATCCGAGTCAGATTTTAATTTTCTGAGGTGTCTAACCCCTTCCCTGAAGTTCTCTGTGTTCTTTTGCCAAGTCGAATAAGCCTGTTTAGACAGGCATAAAATATTAAGCTTTTTAATGAATGTGCTTTGAACACCTCTATGAGTTATTGAAATTTAAATGTCAGTTGTTGAAAGCATGTCCATTCTTTAACCTCTAGAATTGTTCACTGGCTTTTAATCATGATTGGAGCTGGCATGTCATTTTGCACAGTGAAACATCTCAGTGGCTGCGTTACTATCCATGACAAAATTCAATATATTTTTTACTATTTGCTGAATAATACTGTACCCAATGTCTTGTTATATTTAGAGAATGATAGACTTCCTAATGCAAACATGATGAAATTAATAAAACTATTATTCAACGTGTTCATTTTCTTTTGCAAAATCTCTTTTATGTTTCACAAAAGAGCATTAATTAATGTAAATTTCAAAGTTGAATGTTTATCCTTTACCTGTGTTGTAAACTGGTCTTCTGGAAAGGAGCGATCTCACCATTTAAAGGCAGTAGTGGAACTGCTTAGACCCAAGGTGCAAGCAAATATAAGAAGCAGATCTTTGGAGTCAAAACCAGGTTCTCTTTCATCTGCAATTCATTTCAAGTGTTTCTTTGCAATGTTGAAGGACCCATCTCTCCTGGAGATACCATGGGTTTACTGATGCCTTCCTAGACATTGCTTCTATGCAGGCATTCTCTGAGTGCGGTGCAAGATCCCCAGCTTCATTTCTGAAGCTGTGTTAGGCTTTCTGGAGAGTTTATTGAGCTAGTTGGTACGGTCAGTGGTTACCAATAAATTTGCATTTTAGTTTGGCTTTGTGAAGTACATTGTTTCAAATGAGGTTTAGGCCATATTCTTTTTACTGTGCAAGGTACGCCACACTAATAGAGGAACAATATACTTTGCAGGGTGTTATGGTTGGAATGGGTCAAAAAGACAGCTATGTAGGGGATGAAGCACAAAGCAAAAGAGGGATCCTGACGCTGAAGTATCCCATTGAGCATGGAATCATCACCAATTGGGATGACATGGAAAAGGTGGGTGTTTACTTTTAATATAATTTTCTTAAAGCGTCATCGAAGACACAGAGTTTGACATTATCTTCCTTGCAAATCAAAGGAAGTCCTTGAAGGAATCTTTGAGGAAATCTCAGTATAGCTGAAAGGATGGTGCTGTGTGCCTGTACAGGAGTCCAGTGCTAATCAGGCCTTAGCACTGCTGGAGACGTTTTAAAAAGTAAATGTTTTTCTTCAGGTATTTGTGGCATTTTAGACAGATATTTTATACATATATTTAGTCTTGAAGTTCAAACTGAGACAGAACATGGTATGATGTGATCGGAATTGGCTAAAGTTGGAGTTGCAATTCATCAGAGGTGTAATAGAAACACAAAAGAAGGTTATTTCAGTTGGGATTGAAACCTGTGAGGTAGTGGATGATTTTCCCTCCTCAATTCTTGCCTACATGAATGGACCACGGATGATGCCCATGTTTTGTATTGCATAGAATGCACTCGCTGCCAACTGAAGACCAGATTTGTGCTTCTCATCCCTGTACCAACTCTCTAAGCAGGGGACTTTTTCCGCAGAGCATGTTTTCCCATTGCTGATTCCAGTGAGCTTTAATGCCTGTGTGGTGATGAAGCTGCTATATTCCCTGCCAGGTACTGCATTCCTGGCATTTGGACAGCAGAATGGCACTGTGCAGTGCCTTGCTGAGGGTGCCCAAGAGCAGGCTTGGCAGTGCAGAGTGCTGCTGATGGGCTCTGGAGTGGGCTATCTTACTATGCGAAGTCCTTCTCATATTGCATGCATCCTGGTCTTTGCAGGGAGCACCTGAATCTGTGGGAGTGCTGTGTCTGCTTAGGGGCAAAGCAACAACTCAGCTGTGTGTTCTCTTATAATTCAGCTGTGGTGTCACAGCCACAAATTCACACTGGTAGTGCAGGGTGTACCAGGTGAACAGACCAAAGTTAACACAGAAGTAATGGGAGTCCCAACTTCTTGTCTGGATGAGAGTTGCCCACCTACTCCTCTAGATGGAAGCATAGTATTTGCATTTCATTATTTCACTGCTTACTGGGAAGATACCTTGCTCATTTCTGTAGTGTAGAATAGGTGGGAATATAATTCCTATTGTATTGTTCTTCCTGATAATTTTCCTGCTCTGCATTGGGTGAAAAAGTTTACTAGGTTTGTCTCTGCAACCAGAACTGTTCTGTGTAGAGCACATAGTGGTGTTTGCTTTCTGGGTAATGCTTGATGCTATCTAAAATGCAGTCAAGAACAGAAATTGGGGATGGTAAAAAAAACAAAAACAAAAACAAAAACTGGCATGTGCTTTACTGTCTCATGGTGTAGTGCTGCAGGGTAGCATAATGGCTAGAATGACCTCTGCTAGGGGAGGGGTTTTCCAAGGATGTTCTATGGTGGAGATTCGGGCAGTGCTGTAATTCATATAATGGTAGGACAAGGCATGGGTTCTTGTAGTTCAACTTTTTTTTTTTTTTCTCCACTTTATCAACCAAATGAGTGAGAGTGGGTTCTTAGCTCAAAATCACTTTCTTATGTCATACAACACCCAAGATGTCCTAGCTGGAAGAGATGCCCCCAGACAGAGTTGCGCTCAGTCTAAGGAGTGGGACAGAAAGTGGAAAAGGTTTTCAAATAGATGAGCAACAAATAGCAGAAAAGAACCATGAGAGAAAGACAGAAGGAAGGGAGAGATGAGAATCACATTGCTAACTTTCATGATTGTTGCAAATAAATTAAAAAGAAAAAAAAAGTAATTATTATTATGATTCTCCCCAACTCAGTTAGACATATGATCACATGGGAATCTTCCTACCTAATTTCTGTACAACAGAAACTGTATAACAGTTCTGTGTATGTGTGCACGTACACAGACACATACATGCTCTTCTGGCTGAAGGGCACTCAGAAGTGCATTGTTCCTAAAGTTTGAATGTTAAAGAAATAAGTGTTATGTATTTTCCCTGGGATTTCCCAAAACAAGTTGCACAGTTCTGATCCAAACCACAAATTTCTTTGGCATGCTTGGAAATAACAGTACTGAAAAATGCCACACTATAGAAGAAACGAGGAAATTGCTGGAGAATGTGCCAAAAAAATGGAACAAAGGCATAACAGTGTAGTGCTCAGCCATGCACGCATGACAATAAGAGGAGGTCACCTAAAGACTGGGCTGGGTGAATGAGTAAGGATGAGTTTGTGTGTGAGGGGGAGTGCGGATGCTGCTGGGCGCCCAGGCATCTGTGTGAATCAGGAACAGAACATGTGGGCAATGAAGCGAAGCATTCTTCCTCTGGTGTGCTTCAGTTCACAATATTCAAATTGGGACTGCTCTGTTTTCTAGTGGATAATAACACGGGGCTTTGTACATCACCGTTAATTTGCACGCAGCAACGGAGCTGGCAGCGTATGGGAGGGGAAGCGTTAGAATGGGGAGATTTCTGACCCTGATGGCTATGTAGATGTTTAAGTGTTGGAATAATCCCTCCTCGGTAATTTCTCTTAGCTCTTTTGCATGCTGTTTAAATTTAATTCCTGTCACCTGTTGAAATTAACACGGGGCTATTCTCATTTCTTGTGGAATACCGTTATCCATTATTATCATTAGATCAAGTCTAATGGTCTGTGCAGCACCTAATCCTGCCTGGTTTGGAGTAAAAACCTGCAAAATGCCAGAGGTTTCATCAGGGTCTATCCTTACTAGTACTGTTGAAATCTTCAGTGCATTGTTAATGATGTACAACTCCTCTCCTTCTTCTTTCCTATTTGAAGTTGTGGTTTTTTTTTCGTTCTCCTTATGTACGACATATGTTGTCCTTTATTTTATTTTTACTGATTATTTCATTTTCTTCAACATTTTCGTGCCTTCATTTTCTAAACCTTTGTATGGTAACTGTTGAGTCACGGTCTGAACCACTGATTGAGCACCTGGGGTAAGGACCTGGTCAGCCCTTGGAGCACAGGTGAAGGCAGTTCAGCTGTGTGATAGAAAGGGGTAGAGCCTGGCTGCACTTCTCTTAGACCTCATTTAAGGGGCTGACTGCCATAGGGGAAGGATCTCTGCTTGGAGATCCTTCCTTGGAGAAGATTTCCCCTGTGAACCTGGCATCTTCTGATACAGGTGAGCAATCTTCTTCCCTTCCTTTATAGCACCTTTCTATCGTGCCATCTTTCTGTCATCACACCTTTGTTGTAGCACCTTCCCTATTGTGTTGATCTGTCCAATTGCTACAACCTTCAAGTGGAAATAGCCTGCACCCCAAGTCCCAGTTCTGGAAATATCTGGATCTATACTTAAGTGACTGAGAGGAAATGAGTTTTTTTTCTAACAGCAGATAACTTTCATAATAAATAATTCCAGTGCTTGGCAGCTGATGTCTAAATCTGAAGCACCTACAAAGTCAAGATCATCAAGTAAACTTGAGCACAAAGCTGATGCTTTATGCTCAGAAATAAGTTCATTAGGTTGGACAAAGCTGGAATATGATTAAAGAGACAAGAAAAAAAATGGAAGAAAGAATTACATGAGAAGATGAGAAAATATTTCATCACGATACAAAACAATCTGTCTTTGAGCTGACATCAAGAAAATAATCCCTTGAGTTCCTCATAGTCAGTCCTTAGACAAAAAGGGTCTTGATAGGTCAGGAGAACAATCAAAGCCAGCACTGTTGGTCCAGGTAACACCTCCCAGCTTGAACAACAGTGATTCACAGAAACTGAGAAACGCAGTTACTTGGAATGAGTGAGTTTGATTCAGGGCTTACAGGATGAGATAGCTGTGGCAAAAACAACCTTTCATTTCTGCGGAAATAATTAGATTTATACAGACTGCCTTGGCAATGGCTTACAACTGGATCTTAGCCTTCACACAGCTTGAAGTGGAGAAATCTCTCCAGAACTGGCAGTTCAATGCTCGGCTCAGCTCCAGCACCAGAGCGCTGGGGCTGGAAATGCAGCAGTGCTTCCATTTAGAGAGGATGATCCATCATATGTGTGGGGAATCCTGGCAGGCGGGGCTCCCTTGTGTAGGTCGTATTCTGTTGTTCAATATGGTAAAAACCCAGTGGTTTTGGTTAATAAAAACAGAGCAGCATTTGGCAGCTTCACTCTTGCACGCTTTTTCTCTATTTTAACGTGTCTATAGAAAATTTATTAGAACTGTATCTGAAAAGCTTCCTGTGTAGTGTTATGTGGACAAATGGAATAATTTCCTGACCACTTTTCTGAAGTGATTTTCATTTTAGATTTGGCATCATTCTTTCTACAATGAGCTCCGCATTGCACCAGAGGAGCACCCTGTGCTGCTGACCGAGGCCCCATTGAACCCCAAGGCCAACCGTGAAAAAATGACTCAGGTATGGTGGGCCACCAGATAGGAATCATGAAATTGTTAAGGCTGGAAAGACTACTACTACCACCCAGTCTGGCTGTCCAACCATGCCTGCCACCTCTCTACACCACATCACTCAGAGTGACATCTAGTCTTTTCTTGAGCATCTCCATGGATGGTGACTCCACCTCTCTCCTGGGAAATGCTGCACTGCAGACCATTTCTGCATGGGAATCATACAGGAAGCCATGGTATAAAAGTCCTTGATATTCAGCTTTCTTAATATGGAAGATAATCACTTAGGGTTGGCATCTCTGAGCACAAAGGATTGGAGAAAATTGTTCTAAAAATTGGTTCTGTTCTGTCTTGGGAAAATGGATTGCCTAGGAGTATTTGAATTGAAATAATGCTCTGCTGAACATTTTTTCAGATAGATGTGCCCAGATTGACTTAATAAGCATATCTCAGAACCAAAAGTAGATCTCCACAGTTTGTACATTTTAGAACAGCCTTCTGGCCAGAAGTCCATATTGCAGATTTGACTAGTGATGTAACTAGAAGCATGATTTAAATACAGGTATGGAAGTAAAATCACATGGGAAAATCAAATGTAGCTCTGAGCTTCCCTTTGTGCACTCATTTGGCATATATTTAATAAAAAGACTATGCATCCATTCAGCAACAGTGTAAATATACTAATTAAGTAATGAAGTTGACAGCACACGTTACTGGGAGGTAATACACAACAACAAAACATAAGAAAGACCTAGTTTATGGCAACCAGAAAGTGTAGTTTATACAGCAGACATGTCTGGGACTGTTTCTTTGTCATTACACTGTAATGATAAATCCTGTTTAGAGGCTTATTGCATTAAATTCATTGCATCAATTAACTATGAAATATCTAATTAATATATTCTTTAATTGTTGGCGTGCTTTTCATTAAAATAGACTTAATTGGCAAAGGCATTAGCTTATGAAATCCAAAGTTTAAATGTAACTCCCTGATTCCAGTGGCTCTGTGCTGATGATGGAGTAGCATTGTGTGGGGTAGGCGACATTAGTTTAGGAAAGAATAAATCCCATATGGCTGTCCATATTTCACTACTTCCCTGTGAGCCTTTAATGTTTTTACTCAGCAGAGCTCTAGCCGGAAACAAAAGATATTCCATCTGCTCTGATAAAAATGCAGAGTACCTGATATAGAAAGTGAAAAGAGTTGGAGCTTTTTAGGGTAGAGAATGTGTGAGGGACAAGATAAGAGAATGTTGAATGTCATAAGTTGGAAAGGACCCATAAGTTTCATTGAGTCCAACTCTGGACTCCAAATGGACCACCCAAAAATCAGACTCTGTGAGAACATTGTCCAGATGCTCCTTGAACTCCAACAACTTGGGGCCCTGGGGAGACTTTTCTGTGCCTGCTACCTTCTGGTGAAGAACCTTCTGATATCCAAGGTTACCATAAAGAGAAAAAAGTGTTTGCTGGAGACAGAAAGAGATGACAGGCTTAAGCCAGATCAGGTGAGGTTTTAGCTACACCAAGAGAATCCTGAAGTTCGTGTTTCACTAGATATGTTTGCCAGAGGAATCTGAACACTCTAGCAGAGGAGTTTCTGAGACAGAACAAAAGCTGTGCCAGGAATGGTCGGGTCTTCCTTGAGCTATGAATAGGTTGAATATTCCTTTATTTTCAGCTGTGTTTTCTTAATTTTTTTAATGACGTGTATCTAAATACTTTAGACTGCTGTATTGTTGCAGCAGTGGGGTGAGAAAGTCATCCAGAGTCATTGCCTTCAATGAATGTTATCAGTAGCACCCTGACCTAGTCTGAGGTTCATTAAAAGATATCCACTGACTTCAGTTCTGCTGTCTCTTCAGTTACTTTTAATTGTAACTGCTAAAGGTTTGTGAATTTTTAATTACAGATTATGTTTGAGACATTCAACGTGCCAGCCATGTATGTAGCAATTCAGGCAGTGCTGTCTCTGTATGCATCTGGAAGAACCACTGGTGAGTCTGTCTGGGTGCCGTGTTGTCCACCTGTCCTTCGTTTGCACGCGTACATACTCCTTTGCTGTGGCATGCCAGCTGTTTATTAAGAAGAATCAATACTTATATGGAAACAAAATGCCTTCCACTGTGCCATTTAAATGCTTCTTGGTTGTTCTGCTCTTTGTGGCAGCTGTGGGCATTGGCTTCATGTTGTTCTGCTTAAAATGATCAAGTTGCTACTTCTCAATAACATGAACAGATGGATGGTACAACTTGATACTGCCCATAGTTGCACAGCATGGAGAAACAGTTTGTATCTTAACTGGGCTGTTCCATGCCTGCTCTTTCCTTCTTACTTCATACCTGTCTCTATCGTGAAGCTCCATTCCCCGTACAAGATAAATAGTTTCCAGTGGTTACGTGAAAATGTTTCATGCAAGTATTGAATATCTATCATCAAACCTGATGTCTGCTGTTAATTAGCAGTCTGCCCTAGAATTAGCATGTAGTTCTTATTGCCATTTAGAATCTGATTAAACATCAAGACAATAAATTACATTTTAGTAGTCTTTTAGTCTTAACATATTTTGAAAAAAATTAAAATACATCTGTTTATGTAGCCTGATGTCACGGTATAATTCCATATGAAGAGATCACAGCCTGCAGGGATTACAACCTGTTATAAATACTTGTTTCGTGTCCAAAATTTGACTGTTTATATACATCTTTGATATATCAGAAATGCTTTATTCATTTTGGTTGGAAAACATACACTCACTTCCATTCTTGAATAGGAAATCGACTCATCTGCAGGCAGATAAACCGTGGTTACATTTTCCCTCATGGAATGATTTATTTTAATGGCAGACAGATTTTTATGTGCAGTTTATATACTGTTTCATGTCTGTGAAGAGCTAGCACTCTTCTAAAATGAAAGACTCCGTATATGATTATTGTTGTTAGCATCTGTTCAGTAAGAACAATACAATCAAGTTGCTGAATGTTACATGTATCTTCACTGCCACAGTTGCTTAGTTTGAGCTAACAATTTCATCTCACGTGTGAGCTCTTTAGATGTAAAAATGACAGAAGCAATTGGGTGAGGATCTTTATTTGTTGCTGCACAATTCATTTTAGAATATGAGGAATGTAGAGACTCTATAATAGTGGAAAATATCCAGCTTCTCCTTTTCTTTCTCTTTTCAGGGATAGTTTTGGATTCTGGGGATGGTGTCACACACAATGTACCCATCTATGAGGGCTATGCCTTGCCTCATGCTATTATGAGGCTGGACCTTGCAGGCAGAGATCTGACTGACTATCTCATGAAGATTCTTACAGAGAGAGGCTATTCTTTTGTCACCACTGGTAATGAGCTTTATTTTGCATGCACTTTGCTTATATTTGTTCTGGTACTTTTCTTATTATGCTGGCAAAAACCATATCTCTAGCTTAGCTAATGGAATTCTTCTGGCTGTGCCTTGCAGCATATCTGTTGAGCTCAAGGACATGGTTACCACTTTGTTAGGAAATCCTGTGTCATTGAGGAATTTAACTGCTTGTTGGAGTTCACCGTATCTGTTCCACAGACAAAGGAACGAAGTTAGTAGCTGGTAATAGGTGAACTTGTGGAAATTTGATCAAAGTTTTGGCTCATAAAATGTAAAAATTTCTTTACGTTATTTGGTAACACAATACATCTTCATCAGCAGATGAGAGAGATTTGGTTATGCAAATGGGAAGTAGTTTAGTTATGATGGCAGAGAGATCAGAATTCAATGGACTGTATGGCCACCCTGGGCCTAAGGAACTGCGCATGAGAATGTCTGTGTTCAATCTGTTGCACTGTATGTTGATTAAAAACTTACTGACTCTCTGCAGCGGAACGGGAGATTGTGAGAGATGTAAAGGAGAAGCTTTGTTATGTGGCTTTAGATTTTGAAAATGAAATGGCAACTGCTGCTTCCTCCTCCTCCCTTGAAAAGAGCTATGAACTTCCTGATGGACAAGTCATCACCATTGGAAATGAAAGATTCCGATGCCCAGAAACTCTCTTCCAGCCATCCTTTATAGGTGAGACACGATTTCTCTTTTTAGGGCCTTAGCACAATATAAAAAGCATGCTTTATTAGAAAGTATAGGAAGCTTTCACAGCTGTAGGATCTTAAATGTTTGTCCTCAATTGTCCTTAGAAATGTGCAGATTCTATTGGTTTATTTTGTTCTTTAGAAGTTTCTTCAGAAAGATCTCTGTTCATTTAGAGTATGAGAATTTTAAGGCTGTTTCATACTTTCATGAACGCAGTAGAAGTTTTAAGTTGATGTTTGGAGAACTGTTGAAAGATCACTGCTTTTTATCTTGACTGATCTAGATCCACGCAGCACTGATTTTTTTTAACCAGACGCTGTTTCTGTTTATCATTTTCTTATATTAATCTGAGTTGATCTTAAAAAAAATAAAAATAAAAATCAAACTTTATTTTCCAGTAGTTTTAGCTGTAGTGTTAAAATTTCCATTCTCTCAGTGGATGTTGGCTCTTTATGTGGTAAATCATACTGCTCTTAAAAATTTCCCACTTCCCGCTCAGATTGTGCTGATGAGGACCCAGCAAAATGGCTGTAGGCACTTTGGCATTATTTCTATTGTACTGAACAGCAAAGCTAGCCACACTTCTATGTGAAAATCAAACTATCCAAGCATTAACGTAGCTCCAAGTTCTGTATCTGAACAGCAGCAGGAGTGAGATTTACAGAAATTCCCTTTGATAGAGGAATTTGTTTACTGGAAGTGTAGTAAGGATTACAGTTGGTGCTAAAGGATGGTTATTGTCAGAAATGTGGCTATGGGACTCAGGAATTCCTGAATCTCCTTCCTATCCTAGGCATTCCATAACTTCTGGAGTCTTGTGAAGGGAGATAGGTGAGGGAAATAAGCTTGGACTAGTGAGCTTTCCTTTTCCATTTTAACAATAATAAAAAGAAATAACATGGTGAAAACTTTTTTTCCACACAGGGATGGAGTCTGCAGGTATCCATGAAACTACATACAACAGCATTATGAAATGTGATATTGACATTCGCAAGGATCTATATGCCAACAATGTACTCTCTGGAGGAACCACAATGTATCCTGGTATTGGTGACCGTATGCAGAAAGAGATCACAGCTTTGGCTCCAAGTACCATGAAGATTAAGGTAATTTTTAATGCTTGCTTCTTTTGTTGAAAAATTATGTCCTATAAGCAAATCTAAAATGTCTGTAGTCGAATGCTCAGGTCTTGCATCAGGAGTCCTGATGGTAGGAGGGTGTGGACAGGCAGCCTTATCCCTCTGTTCCTTAAACCAGCTAAAGCAGGACTGAAAGAGGAGTTTGAGAGACAGGGATGAACCTACAGAGGAAAGAGCTGAAAATGCCAATGGATAGATGGGCAATTTGAGAAGTTACTGGGAGTATCACAGACTTCAAAGTTTAGCTGTCAGTGAAAGCCATTAGTAGTGAGAAGGATGAAAGAAATTTCAGTAATGGGTTAACAATTCACTAATGAATTTGAAATTTAGTTAAGTTTTTACAGCATAGAACAGCTGATGCATTTTAGCACTGGATAAACGGGGAAGAGGCAGCCCAATATCTAACATCTATCTTGGGATACAAGGCTGGTATGTCCAAAGTGTTTGGGTTTTTTTGCTTTATTTACAGAGCTATTTTATCCTTAAACAAATGAACCTTGGACCACTCTCGGAAGTGTTTATTTATGATCAAATTATATTAATCTCTTAAATTTGAAATTCTTTCTCATTTGTAAGATGTTTTGTGGGCTGCCACTTATTCATCTGCTGGTGATAATCTCTATTGACTAGAGTTGGAAGGCAGTTTAGAGGCTTTCTGCCTCTCAGAGGGCTTATTTCATTAGAGTTGCATTGGTACAGTGCCTTTCACCTAGGTATTTAATCCAAATAGACGTTACTGCGTTATCTGCTTGCCACTTTATTTATGACAGATCACACTTCTCTTCTAGATGATTGCACCACCAGAACGTAAATACTCTGTCTGGATTGGGGGTTCAATATTGGCATCCCTCTCCACTTTTCAGCAAATGTGGATTAGTAAGGACGAATATGAGGAAGCTGGGCCCTCCATTGTCCATCGCAAGTGCTTTTGAATGCTTCCGTTGGCTACTGTCTGTGATAAGTAGTGCTGTTTCTCTACACCTTACCTGCTCTTCTTTGCTATGAGTGAATCCTGGTTTGGCTTTCCTCTATTTGCAATAAAGCACACTGTGTGGATGTCATATGAATTAGTATATTACTTCTAAGCTTTTAGTGCTCAAACAAGACTAACATTTCAGTGATGAGTATTTTTCAAGAGGAATTACAGCAATTATAGTACACAGTTTGTAGACACCTCCCCAGTTTTTAAGGATCCAACTGCCGTACATGGAGGAGGTGGCATACCTTACAGCTAGTAAGTTATTCAGTTAGTCTCTGCTAATTGGGGTTAAGTCTGAAGAACATAAGTAGTATAGGATTCTTTCAAACCTATGCCTGATGCAAGATTTGAGCACCACATGTGGCTTATTTTGTGCAGTTCAGTGGCAGACAGGATTTTTCTAAGGGGATTTATTTTACTGAGGATACAGCGGATTTATGTGGGAACTACTGAGCACATAGTGCTCAGTTGGTAGTGCTCGTATGGATGTGTTTCCTTTGTCTGCTGAAATTGTTTGGCAGGAGTCCTTTGTCCCTATGACCACCACTCACCAACAGCAGTGAGTTTCAACAAGCTACAGTGACATTTGCACATAGGCGTAACAGGCTAACTTAATTCTAATATTGTTTTATTCATCTCTTTTACTGGGCAGTCAGATGACATTTCGTCTACTTCATCTGTATCTGTGCTATGCTAAGCTAATGGTTACTGAGTAAATAATAACCTTTTAAGTACGTTATTAAAATATTCTGGGTTTAATGGATCAATGAAAGTGTAATTATCCATGTAATGGTGGCATACATTAATTTCACAGAGTTTACTTTATCTGTTATACATAAAATAATAATTACTGAGTTCTAATTTAATTTTATTTTGAATATGGTTTCATTTCCTCTGAGTTTTGTAGTCAAATAATTTTTAAATGAAAACAAGATTGTTTCACAATTTCCATTAACAATTTACATCTTCCTGAATGAGGAATGTTCATAATGTTTGGTTTTTTTTAAACGATGATTAAAGCAAGTTACATGGAGATCACGTTTTACTGTTTCAGATACCAGACAAATGTCTTCTATATGATTTTGGATTGGTGGTGATATAGGTTTTGACACTGTTCATGATTTAAATAAAACTTTTTAAGTTACTGCACTGAGAAGTAGTAGTAAATGGATTTTGTTTTGTTTGATTGTCCTTTTAATAAATTAACACTAGCAAAGCTTTAGAATGTGGAGCTTAGCCCAAAACACCCTAATGTGCTGGGAATGGGATTGGGGAACAAATCCTAAATTCCTGACTCCCAGACAACTGTTCCACTAACCAGACAATGTGTGCATATCCTCCCTCCCTTCCCTCTTTGTCTTCCTCTGACTTCAGTGCATTTTGTATTGGTGCCTCCTGAATCTGTGACACATGACCAGTGAAGACAATTTTCCCCCCTTTCCAAAGAAGGGGAAAAGCTAAGAGCTTTACTTACAGATCTCTTCTTGTAACTTGTTTGCTTGGGCTAAACTACAAGGAAAGTTGTATTTCTGCTCTAAGTGTTCAACTTTCACAGAAATAAATTTGCTTTCATTTTGATGCAGCACTTTTTTTTTTTTTTTTTAAATGCCCAGCATTTCAAAAGCATTGAGAAATCCAGTGCTGTTGTAAATAGTTTCTGTTATCCTTGGAGACAGCACAGTGGGCAATGCCCGAGTGCTGTGGCTAAGGGCAGTGAATGATTGATTCATCCTGATTTTTCTGGTGAGCAGCATCTATCTGCTCCCTGGTGAGTGCTCTGATGTAACCAGGTAGCTCAAGGGAATACTAGGCTGTGCACAAATTCTTCTTGTGCTGTGTTCTGCAATAAGGGTCTCTGTTGTACAGATTCTTGTGCAGTAAGGGGAGGAATGCAAAACTCCAGGAAGATGGTTGCCTTCATTTCCAGTTACATTGCAAGGTTGTGATTCTCTTCTCTCAGCCAAAACATTGAACAAGCATTTGCCTTCAATTCAATTGCTCATTGCCAATGTGGCACTGAAATGTGTTCACATTTCCTGAGTTGTACAGGGTTCACCAGTGCTGCTCTGTGAAGGTACTGGCTGACTCAGGGTTTGCTTGTGTGGTTCTCCTTCAGAGATGACTGAAAAGTAGTTATAGTTGTATGTCAGCTTTGTATTGTGGTTGAAATGTCCTCTGCCTTTTAAAAATGCCACCTTGGAGATGTTTTATGGACTCCCGCTCATTCTGACTACTGGTAATTCCAGGGCTGGGTAATCTTATTTCTTTATCCAAATGAGCTCTTCATGATAAAAGCTGCAAGACCCATAGGGGCAGCATTCTCCAAAGCTCTGCTTTATCTAGCACAGTGCAGCATAAGCAGAGGATGGTCCTTCACTTCTCAAATAGCAGGCAGTTCAAGTTGCCATTATTCATGTGTTCTCAAGCAACTGTAAGTCACAGCAAATGTCTCAGCCTCTGAATGAATGCTACTTCAGGTTTATTGTGAAAAGCTCATGTGATTTCTGCTGAAATTAATAATAAATCAACTACATCTAGACTTAGCACTGTTAACTGCCTTTTAGTTGATATAACTTACATTTTCATCTCGACCTTTTGTAGTGTGATGTCCAACAGCATGAACTTAACTGAATGCCAGAGATTTGCATACTTACCTTTGCAATCGTAGAATCATAGAATTGCTCAGGTTGGAAAAGACCTTAAAGATCAAGTCCAACTGCAACCTAACCAAGCTACCTTAACTCTGATAATCCTCTGCTAAATCATGCCCCCAAGCATCACATCCAAATGGTTTTTAAGCACATCCAGGGATGGCTACTCAACCACATCCCTGGGGATTCTATTCCAGTGCTTAACAACCTTTTCAGTGAAGAAGTTTTTCCTGATATCCAGCTTAAACTTACCCTGGTGCAACTTGAGGCCATTTCCTCTTATCCTGTTACCAATGAGAAGAGACCAACCCCGCTCTTGCTGTAAGCACCTTTCAGGTACTGGAAAAGAGCAAAAAGGTCTCCCCTCAGCCTCCTTTTCCCCAAACTAAACAGCTCCAGTTCCTTCAGTTGCTCTTCGTGAAGCATATTCTCCAAGTCCTTCACAAGTATTCTTGCCCTTCTTTGGATGTGCTCCAGCACCTCAATGTCCTTTCTGTACTGAGGTATAATAACTGAACACAGTACACAGGTGAGGCCTCATCAGTGCTGAGAACAGGGGCACGATGACTTCCTTAGTCCTGCTCACCACACCATTCCTGATCCAAGTCAGGATGCCATTGGCCTTCTTTGCCACCTGGCACACTGCTGGTTCATATTCAGCTCACTGTCCCTCAGTACACCAAGGTCCCTTTCTGTCAGGCAGCTTTCCAGCCAATCCTCAGTAACATCAAAGTGAAAATCCCTTTACTTTGCTAATAATACTTGTCCTACTTTGAATATTAAAAATGAAGGATCTTTAATTTTCCAATTTACATTTTTTAATGTATCCTTTCAGTATATAATCGTAGTTCGCTGGTCGGTGCCCTGAGGTCTATGAGGTTGCACAATTTTATTGCCCCCTTTTGTACAGAATAAGTTCAGAGAAGTCCATGGTAGCATTGTAGTCAAATATCTGGATAGCTGTAGCGTTTTGAAACAAATCCACAGCAGTACCCTCTGAATTGCATTACTTTCTCCTGTGCTAGTTATGCATGTGAAAAGGAAGGAGGAGAATAGGAAGCAGTGCAAACATTGCAGCAAAAAAATTACTGGAAAGATTTATAAAGTGTCTGATGAAATATTAGCAAAATGCAAAAGGGGTTTCTATCTTAAAATCGCAAGGCTAAACTTCTAGTTTTGTAACTACATGCTTATTGGTTTAAATCCAACTGCAATATTTCATTAGTCTTAACATTCCAGCAAAATCCACTTTTGAAAAATAAATTTCTTTATTGTATTTGTAACCTTATTTTAATGCTAGTCTAATCTAGGATCTGAAAATGAAATCAACAAGAAATTAATTTGAACTCTGTTATTTTTTCCATTTCGTTTTTGTCCAACTAGTGCTAAAGAGATGCAAAACAGCAATGAGAAGTCAGTGCAAAGTTCTCATCCAAGTAACTGAACTGTTATATTCTATCAGAATATCTAATTGTAGCTCAGGATAGGACATTCCAAATAGGTGTGGGCTTCTACAATAAGGTAATGTCAATGCTTCAGGTCTCAGAATACTTCCTTAAGAGGAGGATAAAGGTATGGAAGAGAGATGTCCACTTCAACTATTCACTGAATCTCCTTCTCCTCGTCCCTTACTATCCCTTGCCTGTCTTCTCCATGTAATCTTGAAAGTTTGATGTAAAACAAGTATGTAAATCAGTTCTTCGTCATTCTGTGACTACTGTTTGTATAAAAACAAAATTACCTGTGACTTTTTAAGTTTCTTTACAAAGGTGGACTCTTTGCATGTCAGATACTTGAAATATTTTCTAAACTTCAGCACTCAACTTTTCTCATTCTTTAGGCTAAGATTGGTCAATAGATCTCTACTGGGAAGGGGAAAAAAATTCTAAAAGCTTGTAAATTTGAGACTGTTTAGAACATGAGTAGCAAAGGAAGTAAACATTTTGTAGCATTTGTATATTTGTATACAACTAGAAGTGCTCCTTGGGCTTCTCTGTATTCCTCCCTTCCATAGGTCTCCTCTCACTCTCCAAACCAAAATTCTCTTCAGTCCTTGGCTGGCATTTATCTATTGATCTTTGCACAGCTGGGGCTGAGATGTGAACTCTCAATGGTTGCAATTGAATTCTCATCCTGCAGCTGACTTATTTCTCAGCTTGGAAGAGCCTGATTATGCTCTGAATACTTCCCTAACAATCTGCATGTGGAATATTATTCAAAATTAAAATGCATTTTGAAAATAGAATCAATCATTTGCCAAGAGCAAATACAGATAAAAATAAATAAAACTATCAAGCTTTTTGTGTGATTTGGCAAACCTCTGCTTCTTTGACAGGAATTTGCTCCAGTCACCATGCAAGTCCTACTTTGCTATAGAAAGTTGTACAGTACACTGTAGTGTTTGTGCCAAGAGTGGGGAATTACAAGCCAAGAAGACACTTCATAATTTGCTCCAAACACTTACCTGCAGTTGTTAATTACTTATTGACTACCATTTCACTTCAAGATTATCTTTATACCTATTGGGTTGTTAGCATCATATTGTGTCACAATTATGCATTCTCCTTGTGTGAAGATCTAGTTTGGCTGATGATAAATGTCCTCTAAATTTGGAAGTGCTTCTATGGATCCTAATTGTCACTGGATCAACACGGTCACTGCTACCAAACATTCAGAACTGGTTCTTGAAACTGGCTTTGGCATCTGGTCTTCTAATTCAGTAGTTCTTGGATCCCTAATATTCTAATATATATTATGTACCCTATATATAAGATATATATATATAATATACATATATATAAGATATATATATATATATCTTATATTATATCCTAATATAATACAGCCACACAGGCAATGCATTTCTTTGGTAAGAACAAGCAAACCAAATTTATTTCAACTCCAGGAGTTAGGACTCAGAAAACAGTGCTCTCCATACCAAAACTAATCTACCTTGAGGCTCATGGCAAGTTATGGTTCCACAATATCATATTAAGTGCACCTTATGGGCAAACGTAGTTCAAGTATTACAGATATCTTTAAGAGCAGCTGATCTAGACAGAGAAAGAAGGAAGAGCATCTTGTACAATAAGGACTTTTAGGCAACAGTTATTTGTGTTGTTAAATGCCAGCTTGCAATTCAGATGTTCCACATGTAAAACATTATCTTCCAGGAAAACTAAGTCAGCAAGTTAAAGGCTACTAATTATACCTTGGATGGCTGATAGTTGTCTGCTTTATTGAGTTCACTATTGCGATTGGATCACATTTTTCTAAAGAGTGGGAAAAAGATAGCCAAGTGAATTTTTGTGACTGTATTGTTTCAAGGTGAATGTATCAAGATTGTCTAACTAGATGTTACATTAAATTATCATGGTATTGCTGTCTTCAGATCAGACAGTGAGAGTCATTGTTAAGTGCTCTCGAGGTGAGAGGAATCTCAACTACTGACTCTGTACAATCCAAGTGTGTAATTCCTCACTGTATGCAAACCGATATCATGCAAAGAAAGCGCTTTGCATTTGGCAGAGTTTCTGGTTGTCTAGGAAATTGTCTCTGAAATCAGAAATGCTAATGGTAATGACTGTTCTTCCCCAGTTTTTCTAGTCATGAGGCTGTAAGCAGTTTTGCAGTGTGTGTTCCTGTTCCTGCAGGCCAAAGATTTGTGGTGGGGAGTGCAAAGCAAGGAGCTTCTGCAGGAGAATCCTCAGCGATGTTTGCGTGGTTCAGGATGGTTCTCCAACTTCAGCAGTGAACTATGTTCAGTTGTGGATGCTACATCTTTATCAAGGTACATTCCCCCCCCCACCCCCCAAAGTATTTGTAAGTAAAATTCTTATTCTAGTTCCAGCATGTGTTTTGGTTAATGCTATATCCTTTTATTTGATCTTTACAAACACAATCTTGTATTTGTTCAGGATATGCTCCCTAAAACAGCATTTTTCTAGCCTGTGACCTTGACTATATTATCTCCTTCCATTACCAAGGAAATAAATACCTTCATGTTAAAGGTCTATAGCTTTACTCTGATTTGTTACCTTCTTTCCTCCATCAAATTTTGATTTATACTTCTGATCAACTTCTGTTTCAAATTAAGCATGTTGTTACCTTTTATATTTGTAGAACAGCTCCCTATAAACATCTTCACAACTTTAACCCCTCTAAACACTTCCATAAAAGTTTATAAGGCCCTGATGCTTCTGAATCTTAAGCTGAATTAGAAGCTCAGGCAATTTTCCTATTGCCTTTTGTCACCCACTCTTTCTGTATTGTTCTTTTTCTTAGGTACAAATTTCTCTTGAGTAGGAGCCAGTGTTTGGTTTTTGATTTGTACAGCACCTTTTGTAATCAGGTATTTACCTTTAGTTGGGCAGCCATGCAACCTGGATGTATTGGCAATTATTCACTTCTAAGGTGTCCTTTCTGTTCTCCCTAACCTTGTTGATGTTGGCTGATTCTTTTAGCTCCTCACTTACTTTTATTAGTAATAGCATAAAAGAGCTCTAGGTGTGTGAAGACTTTTTTTCATAGGAATAACTTGCAGGGAAAAATATTCATTCATACACGTGTTACCATGTTCAGTACATATAAACTAGAGTATCTCCAGTTATTTCTGTTGACTTATTTTATTAAATTCACTGAATATTTGACATAAATCTTCTAAATATGAATGCTGTCTTCCAAACACTTTGGATTTTAGTGTCTTATAACACTATCTTTCAATTCTACTTCTCCCATCAGTGATGCTCTTCCATTTCTTAAAATAACTGTGGATCTGATGTGAAATTCTTATCAGTTGTGCCACGCTGTTTTTGATGTTCACTCAGATATATGAAGGCTGCTCTGAAAATGATGATTCCTATGCCACCTTGCCTCAGTTTTAGGTAAAAATCCTGTTTTGTTTTGGAATTCACCTGCTAAGAAATGTGGTGAGAGAAGCTGTGTCAATGGCTCTATCATCTGGATGGTGTGCCTGAGGATTCATTGCATTATGAGTGTGGTGATCAGTCTGTGGTTGGAGGGAAGTCACTGGCCCATTCTGAGATGAGTTACTTAAAATATGATTAAGGGAGAGAAGTTTCCAAACTATGCACAGAAGACTTTTTTTACTGATCTCATCTTCCACCTGGATAAATTGCTTTGAGATGCATGTCCAATGTGCCCCTAGTGAGGAAATCCACTGAAATGTGTATCACTCTTTAACTGGGGTTTTAAGAAAACAACATTCCTGAGAGAAAGGAGACAAGAAGTGTCATGTAGCAACAGTAAGCAAAGAAAATTGCACACTATGACATGAATTAAATTTGCAAACGCAGAAGCCATGCCTCATGAAACGACAAGCTAAGATGGGGGATTAATAAGATTAATTATTAAAATATTTCTTTACTGTTTGGAGTTAATCTGGGATGAGAATGAGTCTGTTGTTGTCAAGCCTTGTTCAATTTTAATATGGAAATATCTCCTGGCACATATTCTGAACACCCTATAAATGGTGATATTGATCCGATCTTCAATTAATGAGAGACCCTTTGCAAAATTCTAATCTGGGTTTGAATAGTGAATAGCTGTAGCAGGGTGGATCTTTCATACATCAAGGTTTGAGATATAAGTCACCAGGATTATGGCTTTTTTCTTTATTATTTTAATGCGGGCTTGCTTTCCCTGGAGCAAAAGACCAAAAGGGTGAGGTATGATTAAAAACTGTGGAGAATATTACTGAAGTCTAGTCCTGCTCTCTGTTGACACATTTTTCAGGTATCTGCTGTGTTTTTCACAGTTGGCCAGAATGAGCAGTCTCCATCTTTAGTCTTTACGCAGTGCATTTCCCCTGTCAGTCCATGCAAAGCAACTTTTATAGTGGCCAACCTGTGCCTTTTTCTCCTTCATGCAGTTTGCTGCATCCAGTCCCACAATAAGGAATTGTGAGGTGCTTGCATTTGTTACTCATTGCTACCAAGACTAGACAGCAAACTGGATGGTCTTGCTACAGCCATATATTTAAATAAATACGAAATTCTATTTGTTTTCTTGAGACAATAACAAAAACTTAACCAGGAAGCATCCATCCTCTTTTCCTACAAATAATTATTATAGCAAGTTTTTCTTTTCTTTTATGCTTTTATTGCCATCAGGGCAATCTGTGTTAGGCATGAAGTAATATATAGTTTCACTGAAGGAGATGCTGATACTGAGCGGTTTTCTATAGAACGATTTGTGGCCTGAGTCTGAATCTTGCAGTTTTACTCTCTAACTGATTTCCCACCTGGCTCAGAGAGTTGTGTTTTTACAGGACTTCAAAGCCTAATTAAACTGGAGAAGAATTTCCACTCATCACAAGCTCCACTGGTTTATGAAATATCTGAGCTGAAAGACAACTAGACTGCTTCAACAAGGCAGACCCTGTGATTTGATGATAAAAGTGACAGAGCCGGTGGTAATGCAACTGTGTTAAACCTACTTCCAAGCCACGGGGACTTGTGCTTTCAGAACCATCTTTTGAGCTTGGAATCACCACAACATCTGCTGAAAAGAAACAAAGCCCAAAAGATGGGCTCTGGTCTGCTTAAGCCTACCCCCACTTAGTGCTCCTCAAGTTTCAGACAGCAATCATGCCTACCTACTTTCTGCTCTTGCTGTTTAATCCTTTAAGCTGTTAATTAGGTGCCTTCTTAGTGATCCTGAGAGCTCCTTGGGTATTTGTACTCCTAAATGTTTTCAAGGGTTCAATAGAACTCAGTGCACATACTCGAGAAGTGTGCAGCCTTGGCTTTTAGTAACTACTCAACTTAATAGGCTTTCAAGCTATTACTGTCTTCAAGAAACACATCTCCAAAACCCTTCCAGAGGCTGCTATCTGTGGGGGCATTTTGCACTGCTCTTCTTTAAACTGAAGCATTGTATGGTCCAGCAGGCAATAGACACAAACAAAACAGATCAGATAGAAAATGTGTTGCAGAAAGTAGTCTGCAAGTTTAACCCTGCCTAGTTCTGGATGTAGACTTTCTGGTTCTATTGCCAGTCTTCAAAAATGTGAACAAGAGCTTGAAAATGTGGTGTGCAGAAGCCAGTAAGGAAAAATCTAATGCTTTTAAGAACAACGTTGGGTTCTTAATTGGGTGTAATTGGGTGAATCTACCTTCTGTGCTTAAAAGTAGGGAAGACAGATGAATGAGCTTGAGCTGTACTTTCACGGTGAGAAGACATTAAATAACTGCTGAGGTTTGGGGTTGGAATTTTTTTTTTTATAATCTTTTTTTCTCGTGTAACCAAATAGCAATGTTCTCCTTTCTGCATAGGCTTACCACGTGTAGCAGTCTGAAGGGGATCTGTGGACTTTGTCTTGAGAAAATACCACTGTTTTGGAACTATTCCAGCTCCCAGATGCTGAGCATTTTGCTGTTGACCTCAGTGAGTGTAAGAGATGATCCTGTGAATGTGTACAATTCCCTGTATAGCTAACCACTGCAAGGACTTCTGAGGAACATTACCTTCTGGTAGTTCTTTCACTTTAGCAGCCTCTTAAAGAGCATTTTACATTGCAAGTTGCACACTAAATCAGTTGCTTTGATCTCACACAGGGTGCTGAATTAACATGATGCAACCCAGAGATGCAAAGGGATTTCTTTCATTAACAGTGCTGTGATGCTAGTGAGAACAGAAGATGTGTTTCCTAGACAACCACCATCATTCTGTAAGTGAAAGAAAGCAGGAGGGCTGGAAAGGGAGTTTGTGATGACTAGAGATCAATTTAGGAAAAGGTCTGAATAGCACCATTTAAGCTCTTTTTCAAAATGTAAAACATTACACTTTCTAAAACTCTTCATGGAGACTTGCTATAGGGTCTGAGAAACAGCTTTGGTGGTCTCAGAAATTAAAAAACTACTACAAAGAAATGCAAATATGAAATTCATTCCCAGACCCTCCTATTTTGGCCATATGTGCATGCCTTCAAAATAGGAAGTGATATAATGCTGAGATTTCTGGTGTTTAGCAAAAGAAAGGGTGTTGAACAGCAGTGCATGGCTGAACTATGCTCCTTTTTGAGAATAGATTCTGACATAACCTCTGCTAGGAAGATGATAGAAAGATTTTATTATCAGCTGTTACAACAGTGGTAGCTGGGGTGAAAAAGCCTTTTCTATGTAAGCAATTAGGTGGGAACTTGTCTACCTGCACAGACCCATGAAGAAGTGAATTCAGGAAGCTGAGTTTGCCTGCAGGAAGGAGGGAGGGGGCCGTCAGAAGTCTGAGATCAATATGAGCTTAAATGAAACATTTCAAACCACGCTGGCAGTGACTATCAAAGTGACATTTCCTGCTGCTGCATTGTAATATAAATTACTTTTCTATTTGTTTCCTTGACAAGACTTTTAAGAGAATTGAATATCCTGCATTGGTGATCCTACAGCAGAAGTTTTGTATTTAGGTCAAAATCTATTCGGACAAGGTTTAGATGGTTAAACACCCTCCCACTGGCTGGGGAGGAAAGGATGGACCTAGCTACTGGGGCTCCATACTTTTATTTGTTGTGTGCATGTCGTGTATGATAGTGGCATTCTGAGATGTGGAGCTTGGGAAGTTGAGTTTTATTTTGTGGCCAAGATAAGCCGCTGCTAAGATGCTACCACTGTAGTTCTTCCTCTTAGGCTGTGGCTAGCATCAGTGGTGTAAATCTCACACTGGTCTCTTCCTAGGCCAGTTTCTACATTGTGTTCACTCATGATGGAAGAACAGAACACCATTCTTGCTGTAGCATCTTCGTGTTTGTTCTTCACAGTGATCTTTGTGGAAGAAACACACCCCCTTTTTGCCTCTGAAGGCACGGAGGAGTTTCACTCACAGCAAACGTACTATCTCTGTATACTGCAACTTGATATAGAACATTTTGGAAGGAAAAGTTTTGCACAGGGGACAACTTGTGTTAATAAGGAAAGGCACGTTGGCACGAGGGGGAAAAAATCAAAAAGTAGATAAAGGAAACAGGAGTGAGATGATTATCCTAGGTTATTTTGTTGTGAAGTGCTGTGTAAAAGGTTAAGTTACATTTTAGTTACATGCTGAGTTTGCGTGAAAAAAGAAACAGCTTGTAGCCTGGGCCAAACAGTTTGCTTTTTGCATTCCATATTATTCCTCAATATTTGTCTGCTTTTACTGAAAGTTTAGAACCCTATAAGAATAAAGAGCATTTTTCCCTGAGAAAAACCCTGGAGCATCTTGGGGAGTATTGTTACCAAGTTTAATTTACTAGTGATGAACAATTTGGTACTCTTGTGTTACTTCATCAGTATTGTCACTAAATAGCAGTGATTATTTATTCAACACTAGGTGCTTCACATTTCTGAAAGTATCTTCCTGTGTTATGTGCTCAAAAGTGCAATGAAATAACTGAGGTAAATTGTAAGGGGCTCATCCTGTTTCTCTGGATCTCTCTTGTTCTCACTGATCCTCATATTTGCTTACCTTGACTGGACAGGAGATTTTGTGCAAATGGTGTGAATCTGCTTCAGCGCTCATAGCTTCTGTCCCTGGCAATGCTGCCTTTTGCTACTGCTGCTACTTCTTCTGAGTGGGGTTGTGACTAATTATTGCTGCCCTAAGAGAGGACTGTTTGGAGTCAAGGTTATTTATCATCTTTCAGAAAGAAACATGGAGGAAAAAGCAATGGGATGCTTAAGTGAAGACCAGGATACCTTATGCTAAGGATAACTGTCCCTCAAGTGCTTAATAGACACACTTGAAAATAGCAAATAAAACCTCAGAAAAAATTTGAGCTCAAGAAGTTATGTTCTTTCAGCAGCTGACAAAATACTTCGATCAGCTTTATCGTTCTGTCAATGAGAAACGACCTTCCTGCGCATTGGCTGCAAATCTGCAGTGCTGGAAAGGAATTCAGTTAAAGAGGGAAATGCAGACTTTAACAAATGAAGCTTCTAGTCTTACCGCTCATTTGTACTTTGCTGAAAACCACAAACCTCTCAATTTTTACCATGCACTCTGTGGCCACTCAGACATTTGTTTTGTTATTTTACCATATGAACTCTCACTTTCCTTGCCCTTCCTTCAGAGCGCTTGGACAGGAGTCTGCAGCTATGTCTGTTGAAGTTTCTGTTCCGACTTTGCTAAAGGAGGAAAGAAGCATGGATAGCATCCATGTGCTTCTGTTCTGGTCCAGGGGGGGCTTATTGAATGGGGATAAGGATCTTTCTCGTCTCCTTTTGTAGTGCTGACACCAATAGATGTGAAGATGGCAGCCATGCAGGTTGGAGTGATGGCAGCTCAGAAATATGTGATTCAGTAGGAAGGATTCTTGGCAATCAGCTTAGATGATGTGATGAAATGTGTATTGACTAGGAGCAGGGAGTGCAGTGCAGATTAGATGTACCCTTAGGGTGTGAATGATATTTCCTAAATCCCTTTGAATGGCACTTATATGTATACTCTCAGTTATCATTGCTGCTCGTCATCCTCCAGAAATGTCTTCAAAGTTCTCTGTGCAAACCAAAGCAAAACTTCCCAAGCTTTGTTTTCAGACAGCTGCTATCTGGAGGGTACTAAGCTCCACAAACTCAAATTTTTAGAGAAGATAATAAAAAGCTCACATGAAATACAGTATCTAATATTCTTTACTTTCCTGTGTGCCTGTGGAATCAATAAACACATAACAAATAATTCAGAAACAAAGAATTCTAGTCTAAATGTAAGTAGCTAGCATTTTGGATTTGTTTTAAAAGGGAATAAATGCAGCAAGCTGCAGACATTGTTATGCATTATAATTAATAGAACATCTAATGAGTTCTAACTAATAACCAGGAAAGTTGTTTAGTAAAATAGCTTTTTTATGAGCAATATGCTCATAAAATCATAAAAGTTGTTTATTTTGCAAAGGAGGAAGAGAAGAGAGATGGTTGTAAATATTTCTTAAAAGCTGAGTTTCATTCACAAATACTGTTCACCTTTTCAAATCAAAGAAAAAGGCTTTTTCAGGATTATTTGAAAAATACAGCTTTCTTAACAGGCTTCATATGAGTTAGTAAAGTCCAGTACATCTCAGGGACTATAATCGTTGAATTTCTTTAGGCAACAGTATCTCATGTTATTTGTGGCACATGTTTTGATATATATATCATAATTTGGTAAATTATATTAATATTTTCCTAGGTAATATATCAGGAAGCACAGCTTCTCCATTATTTGTATTTATTTCTCTATTACTTATGCTGAAAAACCTTCTTTTACATCAGCGTATCACAGATTTGTTCATATTAGATGGGACCATAGGAGGACTCCAGCCCATTCTTTTGAACATCCATGGTCTCACCTGACTGTGTGCAGAGGACTTGCCTGGTGCATCTCTGTCCCTTTTCTCTTCTCCACCATGTCTGTGTTATGGCAACCTCATAATCCTCCTGGTCATTTTGTTAAATTTCCATGTTAACAAATCTATAAATTTATCTGCTGCTTTTCACTTTCTTGTAATACAGAACAGCACCTTTATGTAGAGCGTTTCATCTTTGTTAATACAGTCATTAATTAATTAGTTGAGCTGGCATATTCCTCTGTTAAATTGCCAGACTACTAAAATGTATTCTTACAACTCCCTTAAGGTATTTTATGTACCGGTGAGGTCTTTTGTTAATCTCCTTTCCATAGTGTGTTTAACCTTCTTTCACTTATCACTTAGGGTCATTGAGGCTAATCTCAGCTGTCCTCTTTTGAACCTTGTGGTGTCCACCTCATTTTTTTCTTCTCTAACTGGAACCTTGTAGTTGGCCCAGATTCTCAGCTAACTAAAACTAAAAATTAGGAGTAACTGAATAAGAGTTAATTCCACCAGAAGCCAGAATGCAGTCATTCTCAGAAATTCACATGTGACTTTCCTATCCCTGTTAAGATACAGCAAGCAGCAACTGTTATGTTGCTTTTTATACATTTTTATTTTTTTTTTAAGATTTGTCACAGTGTGCTGCTTAGGCATTAACCAGAAAACAGTTCCTAGTGGACACAGTGTGTCCGTGTTTCTTAAAAATTCAGAAAGAATAGAAAAAAAGATTCAAAAAATAGTCTGGAGTCTCAAAAACATTGTAGTAATGAGAAAATAAGAAGTTCAACCTATTTCAATAGAACGTAGCTTAGGCTAAACTCTAAGGGAAGGACTGTGAATGGTTTATTAAGAAGTGCTATGAAATCTAATGAATGGGCAACAAAAAACTTAGTTTGTAAAGTAAATGCAGACCAAGTAGGAATATACTTAAGATTCACTGAAAGTAATTAACTATTGGAACAATTAACCTATGAATATAATGAATTTGTTGTAGTATTTAAATTGAGACCACATATTTTTCCTAGATATACAGGCTTGTCCAGCCAGAAATTACTAGGTAAGATTCTTTGGTATGTGTGAAGTCTCAATAATTCATCACAGCCTCTTTCAGCCTTGCAATTTAAGACCTTAAATGCCATATGCTCACAGCTTTCCTATTCCCTTTTTTTAATGTGGGGAAGGGGAGTTCCATAATGGGTTTTGTGGCAGTATGGATGTATTTTGCACTGACGCGTTCTTGATTAAACACAAAGCTTCACCTTTCTCAGAATTCTTGCTCCCACACACTCCCAAGTGTTTTCCTGGGAACACTACAAAAGCACCTTGTCTTTACTCCCTTGTCAGCCTGTAACGTTAGATCTCTCTTAATTTGCTGTTCTTTACTCTTTCTCTTCCACCGTAGCACTGCATTGGCTGAATGTTGATCATTGTGGTGGATCCCTTATTCGTGTTTAACTTACTGCTGGCTACTCTGTCAGAACTGTTTCCTGCAGGTCTGTAACTATATGCACAGATTCTCTCCCTGTAAAATCCTTTTGGTTACTGCTGCTGCTTCAGTGAAGCAGCACGAGATGTTAGGCAAGCTCTTTGCTGTTAAATGCATGCTGGCTGCTCACAATTTAGATATACTTTGCTAAATGTTCCATGCCTACTATTTTCTGCTGTTCTCATTATTCAAATCATGCTTGTAGAACCTTGTTGTATTTTTTTCTTTTCCTGGATATTCATGACAAAAGTAATACAGGATTCCTCCCACTTTGTGCATAGCTATTTTCTCAGTCCCAAAGAATCTATTGTTGCTATTAAAGCTCAACAGTAGCACTTGACTGATTTCTGACTGATCAGAGACTTCAATTATCAGATATTTTCCTCTCTTCCTGCCTTGATTTTTGTGCAGTCCCTCTTTGCTATCTTTATGAACAACACAGTGAAGGATACGTCTGATAGGATGCTTTATACATGCTGTGACAATTTGATTCAATTTTCACCTATATTACCTGTTTCTCCAGGTTATTATTTATATATAAACATGCTTCTCTTTATCTGCTTCTTGCTCCTAGCCAGTAACACGTTCCATGTCCCAGGAATTTGGCCCAAACCTTTATTGCCAGCACCACCTCATTTCTCATGGTTTTGAATGCCAATAGGCATCTTGGGTAAACATTGAGCTCACCTGTTCCTGTGCTCTGTGCTACACCCTTCTCATTTCAACTGGAAGCTACAGAACAGAAAGCTACCAATATCTTTGCTATAAAAAGCATTTTAGTGCTACTCGTAAAAACAAATAAACACCTTCCCTGCCTCAGATTATGTGCTCTTGCCATGACAAAAAAGATTGCTTTTCTTGTGTGAGTGTTGCACATATAATATCTCTTCAAGGATATGATCTCATAGCCTCTTGCTAATGCATTGATGACCCATTTTTATTTTGTATCATGCTGTTCAAAGACAAAAGAAGGTGAGACCATCTGAGAGAGTCTTAGTGATTAATTGCTCTGTGCTACCTGTCCCAGAATGCAGATTGAAATTGGAGCGCTCTGGCTCCCAGAGCTAAATTCACAGAAAGCAGCTGTTTTTCCAGTGTTGTTTTTTTTTTTTTTCTAATAAGAAGCAGAAACTCACACCTGCTACTTAATATGTGAATGGTATTTAAAATATTGGGTTGTTTCAATCAGATCTGAGTGACAACAGCTTCAGTCATTTAAACCCATTTGTAGCCTCTTCCCATTGTCTATCACAGACACCAAGAAGCACTTCTAAAAAGTGTGTGTTCCTGTGCATTATGTTCATGTTTTCATTTAAAGCCACTAGTGGTTGCTCATTTCCATTCTTTAGAAGTAAGAAATCATCTCTGATAAACTGTTCATTTGGCACATTAATAACAATGGAGAATCAGGCTGGCTACGGTACTTATACCATCAGTGTGGTGCTTGAGCAACTCGCCTTTATGTGTGAATTTGTTTTTTGAATACTTATTGAGTGAGAGAAGTAGAGTTCCCATTACATAAATAGGAAATAGAAACAAACAGGCAAGCAAATGTTTATCTATTCGCATAAGAAGGAACATCAAAATCAGCAAGCGTCCTTGCAGGAGTGAAGTTAAGCATTCAAAAAAGCATTTGAGGAAATCAGAGTAGAATGACTATGCTCCAGCCCAGGAGTGTAAAAATACTTTGTACAGATGGAAAAGGGGTTTCCAGAGCCACATGCCAGCAATTAGGCTCTGCGGCCGGATGGAGAAACATCTCACTTGAGACAGTGCTGAGAAGAAGTGGCAGCAGGAGGGATAGCCACAGCTAGGGATAATCAGCTGGACCCTCCAAAACCATTAAAAACACGTTTAGTGGTTGGGCTGGAAAGTCCTGTGGAGTGATTTTGTCTGCTCTAAAAAGTGACTGTTTATGTGTTTGTTTTCTGGGGAGGGCTGTTAATGCAGGGATCCTGCTGGTGCTGGCAGACATAGCCCAAGACAATAAAGATTTCTAAGTTGCACAAGGAATTTTTCTTTTTGCTTTGATTCTTATTCCCTTTAAAATCCTGAAAGTGTGCAACTTGTCAAGCTTTACTGGTGTCACAAACTCAGCAGAGTTGGGTATCTGTAGCAGATTTTTTCAAGGTGTTGTATCTAATAAGTGAACTGTGCTTTCTCTCAGAGCCTATGACTTTATCCTGATCTTGAGCCTGGGGAAAACATCCAGCTAGAGTCTTATTTCTATATGGCAATCAAAAACCTGGTGCTTGGTCACAAGGCCTCACTTCCTTCCAAAGATGCCGTGTGGGGAAGCAGTACCTAGCTGAGCAGGGCTCCCTCTGACCTTCCCTCCAACTCCTGCCTGGAGGTGGCTGGCATCCCACAACTGCCCCAGTTCCACACCTAGAGGATATGAAAGAGGAGAACCTTGATTAGTGAACATGGTGAGGCATTTCAAGAATCCACACAAGCATGTAAAGCCTATTCTGGTTTGTTTCAGAGTGGATGGCATATACAGACAAGTGTTAGGTTGTTTGTAATTATCAACATCTTTGGTGCTTATCTGCTGGCATGGGCCATGAGGAGCAGCCCAGTGACTGCCTGTATCTATTTCCCAGCTGTCACATGTGTACTCAGTCATCTCTGCTGGCTATCACCTGTCAGACAGCAAATCCATTTTCTAAGAAACACAAAGGTTTTATTATTATCTGAGAATGGTAAGAGATTTCTTAATCATTCTGTACATCTGATGTGACATCCTACATTTCAGGGTGACATACAAAAGCCATCCTAAGGGGAATCTCCAGCACTGCTTTCTGCCACAGTACGGCCCTGTTATCAGGGTGTATGACCAAGGGTAGAGCAGAGCTCTGTATTTCTGGGTTATCATAAATGATCCACTGTGTCCTGCAATCTACTGACAAGCAATCTGGGACAACAAGGCACATAACATCATCTTGATATTTTGAGAAATGGGGACGTAAGAATTAGAACGTTCTTGTTGGCTGCTTCAATGCTTTCTTCATGACAAAAAGTAATAATTTTGCTGTCAGTAGGGAAAAAATCCTAACCTTTTCAACTATGATTTTGTCAAAGAAAAAGAAAAGGAGATTTACTGAATATTTAACAGAAATGCAGCTATTCCTAAAAAGAAATTGGCAAAATGATATTCTGAGCCTTCTAACAATAAAACCATTTGATAATGTTTCCCTTTTCAGTGTGGTTTACTGCATAGTCAGTGTTGATGAAGCTTAGATAAGATTTGAAATTATATGGAATGATAACAGGAATGTAATGCCTATTTTAAAGATAACAGATACTGCATCTTTCTAACACAAGTTTAATTGTAGAATTTGAATAGTTTTGTGCACCTTGACAAATTTGTAGAACTATATACATAAATACAATTATGTGATTTAATAAATGATTTGATGTTATATGCTTCAGATTTTGTACCATATGAACAAGGAATATTCTATGGGATGTATTTTGATTCTACAGTTATTTGATTTAGGATACTTCTCGGTTACTAATTTTTATCAAATGTAAAACCTGATAAGCAATGTATAAACAAAACATTCCATACTGACCTTAGTTGGCTGTAAAGCATCCCATCCATCATTTAAAAATATATGGAATATTGGATTCAATAAAAACAATTCTGCTTTGCTTTAGACAAATGGAGTGAAAAGCTATCTCTTGGCTCAGGAAAGATTGTGGAAAAAATCAGGGTTACAAATGGGGTAAAAATTCAAATGGTATTTAAGTTCTTGACAATCTTTTTGTGTTGTCCGTTAAATTGGCTAAGATAAATTGTGGAAAACTTTACTTACCAGAACATTGTATTTGATTTGGATGAGTACAGTATGTAACAAAAGAAAAATCCACCTGGAAATCCAATCATCTCTCTCATCAGATGCTTATAACATTATAGCATGTTTTTTAATGGTAATTGCAAATTTTCTGATTTTAGAGAGGCCTTGGGAAGAGTACAAATGAGAAAATTCAGTGGCTTTCATAGAACATTTCATGGTTGATTTAGAAAGATTTTCTTGGACACAAGTTATAGCAGAGAAATGGTACAGAATTTGAATAGGTAAAAGACAATGAGGGCAGCATGACATTAATTGCTCTGAGTTTGTCACAGTGGGCTCAACGTAATGTCTTTATAGACTATGAATGTCTTGGAGTTTGCAAGCTGAGCAGGCAGACCCTCTATCAGTAAGTGCATTCCTGTCATTATCTTGTTCTCCTGCTCCACAGGTGTGCATCATACTTGGCAGAAAATTTGAAAAGACATGAATCTTAAAATAACACAGGAAAGCAAAGATGCAAGTGGTGAGGAGGGAAATGTTAGAAAAGGACCTGGAAAAGAATTTTTACTTCTGCTTTCTCTTGTCAGGTCTCTTCTATTTTGTCATCTATTGTGGCAATCTCTAGGGATGGAAATATCTGTCACATGCTGCATCAGAACTTCTTTTCACTGTCTACAGTTAAGTCATCTGAATATTTGATGGACAAAGCTAGAAGTCTTTTTTCCTTCTAGCGAACTCACATTTACTTTTTAGTTTCCACATGCGTATGCACACACATGTAGAGGATATACCTTTGTTCAAGAGACTAGAAACTGGAGCAGCAGATTAGCAGAAATAAATGAGGCATTTTGTAGAAAGCAGGGCAGAAGTGTACTGCTACAGGGAGTCTGTACTGCCAGTTGCCTTCTGGAGCTCTGAAAGCGCGAGCAGCAGAAGAGATAGGAGAGTATTTTTTAGTGGATTTCACACCAATTATATGCTTTCTCAACCTTTATCTCTTTGGAAACTCCAGGGCCTCCAGCAATGAAAGCTATGGTGCCATCCAGCTGAATCTTGTGCCTCTCCTGGACTAAGATGCGTGAGCCAAGTTGGCTTCAGATATCCTTTCTTCATTACCTCCTTACAGATTTCAGCTGAGGAATATAAGGATATGCAAGTCAGTTAAACTCCTTAGGATCAGTCTGGAAAGTAACGATGGGACTTCTTTTTTTCTTCAATTTCTAAATCAACTTAATTTTCTATCTCCTTGGAGTAGATTAAAGCACATTTTTAAGCAATTCCCAAATACCTGCAATAGATAACAATGCAAAGATGAGTGAAAAAGCATAAGAAATGAAGAAAATATTCAAAGTCTAAAAATAAAAGAATATACATATTGTCCAGGTTAGCTAAGTGATCAAGCAAAGTCACATACTTTCAGAGAATGCTTTTTTGCGAACCAATCTGAAGAAACAGACTCTAGAGAGACCTGATGTTTGTATTTGACTCTGTAAATGATGCTTCTCAAGAGATCTCATTCTATCCCCTGTGACCTACTCATGTTGAGACGGATGCACTCCTCAAGGAAGCCATCTTATAAATACATACTTTTTATCACTCCCAGATCCTTTCAGGTTCTTCTGTGCTGTTTCTGCTAAAAGAGGATGTTGCTTTTTAAATGCCCTTCAGTCTCCGACTTCTCAGTCTTCATTTTCAGTATACGCTTCCTTCTCTGAATTTCTAGTTCAAGACTGTGTATTGTTTGTATAATTCTCTGGAGCAGGTAACTCAGATACTGCTCAGTTTTACCTTTAAATAGGAAGACAAGTTTTTCTCATACTTCCATCCTAATTTTCTCCTGTCATGAATGAACTGCAGACAATTTTGTCTTCCACAGTCAACCACAGAGAAACAAGAACTGATGCTTACCAGAAAGACTGCCATAAAGGAAAGCCAGGAAAATATCGAAGTCAGTGTTTTTAAATTCTTCTTTTTAGTTTTGTAATGGAAAACTGAATCCCTAATTTGCATTCAGTTTTGGGCAATTTGTTGTAATGTTCAAAGAGTGGAGAGCTGTTAAAAGGATACTGCGTACAAAGGATACTTCTATTATGAATGTTTACTTTGGTACCTACTTGTAAGTACATTATACTGTAAATACAATGTAATTTGAATGTAATTAAGATAGGGATTATTAGGGGAGGGGAAAGGAAAAGAGGGAGATCTTACTTAATTGGGCATCTGAAATAAGGACAATGGCAGTCAGTTGTTAAATTATTTGGAAAATGCTAAATCAAAATCACTTTATGTTATAGGAAACTGCAATTGTGGAAGTGCTGACAGTGTGATACTTAGAGCAGAGCAGACAGTTTCTCCCTGGTGAGTTTTCTCACTCCTCTAATTTGCAGAACTTCTCTGAAACAGAGCATTATTCAGTCTCTGATTATCCATGAATATTCAAAATTTACCCTATTATTTGAATACATTTGGCCAGATAAATTGTATGCAATTCTTACTTCTTGATTGGAGAAAAACAGATGAAATCTTTGTTCAAATATTTGCATTGATGCATTTTCCCTTGTTTTGAAACTACATACATACATTTGACTTTTAAATGATTTTTTACGAACATTGATTTACCAAAAGTTATTGCTCAGATCTTTCCACAAAGCATACTTAATTGATGTGAATGTAACCAGGCTGTCCTGATTTGAAATTAGGAATATCTGTGACAAATGAGTTTGAACTTTACATCCAAATTTCATGTAATATATTGTTTTATTGGCTGTGAACCATTCACCTGCAAAAGCTGCTCAGAAACATTGTTGTGCTGTCTCAGCTTGTGGCTGCTTACTGGTAATGCCATGAGTCTTATTAAATATTTAGGAAACTCTTACTGAAGTACTGTTCTTCAGCTGTAATTGTGACATAGCTGGGTACTCAAATAGAAATTGTATTCCCTTAAAGGGAAATAACTAAGTGTTGGAGTTTAGAGTATCTTACTTGCTTTAAGCTTACAGTTCATAAAATCAAGCCATAAGGTAGTTTACGCATACCAAGGTGAAAGGAAAAACAGAAGTAATAACATCAGATACCCATGGGGAAGCTGGTAGAGTATTTCTGCCTGCTTTGGGACCCCCAGCACAAGATAAGAAAACACACAAGAAACAGAGCTCAGCCCCATGTGCCTACATGATGTGTGCCTAAGGCTGGCTTTGCAGAGGTGGAGGCTGGTCTCCATCAGATATTACAGGTATGTGGTGAGAGTTAGCAGCTCTTAGTTATGTTATCTGATCTAAGTTTAGTACAAGACCACCCCCCTCATCTGTTTGTTCTAGACACTGCATATTTCCTCCAAGGAGCCTATGTACATGATCAGTGCTTCCATCTTTATCCCTCACACTTTTTTCTTTTTTTTTTTAATTAACTGTGGTGGATTCATAGCTGATTTTTATTTCAGTAGCAGTTTGGGGGATTTTTTTTCTTTCTTATTAACACCACATCAGATCTCATGCCAGGAGAGGAAAGACCCAATGACAGGGGTGGCCTATTTGCTGTACCTGAGTTAGATGCAAAGCTGTGTTTTCAGCTTGGATGAGCTTGATAGCAAGAAATATGTGGGTTCAGAGGTGAAGCTGCACTGGACATTGCCTGTCTTTTCAATGGTCATGCTTGGATTAATTTATACCTGTCCCATCCGAATTTTCTATTCTCTCTTCAGGAAGCTGTTTTCCTACCCCCCATGATCATTTCCTTCAGCAGGTGAGGAGCTCGTATAGGTCTTCTGCTCTCCCCTTGGATCTCTTTGAGAGCTGTTGTAGCTCTCTGCTTCTTGACCTCAGCTGATCCTCTTCAAAGTGTTTCTCCAAGATGTAGTTTGTCAACAGACAGAGAAATCAAAGAAGCAAGGGTTTGCCTTGTTTCTCATCCAGGTAAGCAAGCTCTCTTCTGATTTAGCTGAGCATGCATTGCAGTGCGCATCTGACTGCCAATGCATTTGTGAGTTCTGAATAAAGCGAGTCCCATTTTCCATATTGCATCAGCAAATGATAAAGCACCCAAATGCTATGCAGACAGGGTGACCTCAGAGCATTAGTAATTTAGATGAAGAGTTGACAGCAGAGGACAACTTTTAAAACATATGCATTTTTAGGTACTGTTTGTTGCTCTGTGTGACACGTGGGAATGTGCAGATCAACCCTTATTGCCTTGGTCCCCTACAACCCAGATCTCGTAGTCTTCCCTCCACTCCAGGGAGGCCATCTGTGGAGACGTCCTCTCAACTGTCCTACAACCATTCAAGCATGAGACTGGGACACGCCAAAGTTCAACTGAGCTCCAGGAATTGCTGAGGTAAAAAAGAAGCATACAACCACCAGTGAAATCCAAAGAGCCAAAGAGAATAACTAGGCTTTTATGCATAAATGCTGGATAGAACCAAGCTCTCTCACATGGGTAAGATTGATGGTTGGGCTCAATGTTCTTGAAGTTCTTTTCCAACCCAGATGATTCTAGGGCTTATGCAATTTGTGATGAGCCAAGCAAAGGCCTTTCTCTCAGTCAACACTGTGTAAAATGGTTTCACTCATGGCTTGAGACCATTTTCTTCCTGAGCTGGGACTTCTTAGGTGACTTAGGTGACCAAGCACTACTAAAGGGATGGAAAGCAGCCTGCTCCATGCCTTGACTGTTATACTATAGCAAATATTACATATAACTGACTGATTTTTGTGAGAGCAATGAAAAGTGCATGAGTTTGCAAAAGGTTTATCTATGTTTTATAGCAGAAAAAAAAATGAGAGTAAAACTACACTGTTTTACTCTTTCATGCTTCCTTTCTGCTTTTAGATCTTGTTGCCTGTGAAGTAAAGCAGGAGGTTCTTTAGTTTCTGCAAATGTCTCAGGGAAAATGTAGCAGTACAGTTATGTATTTACAAAATGGCATTAAGCACACTATAAATTCTATCAATCAAACTGAATATTGCCAAATGGGATATTATGTTTGTTAATGAAGCATGTTTCCCATTCACACTCCCTAATCGAGCAGGAAACAGAGGCTACAGCACCTTTTCTGTAATTCCCTGCAGCCATAGTCTTGTTTCCCAGAACTAACTGCTCTGTGGGCATTCCATCTCTGAATCTCTCCATCTTATTTCCAGTACAATAGGATTTTCAGCAGTGATAATTATGCTTTGAAAATGCTAAGTGACAAGCTCATAGCTGGTATAAAGTGATTCAAATGAACCTATGCTAGTTTCATGTCATAGCCACTGTGTGCATGTAGTAGAAAAGCAAAAACTTTAATCCCTGTGAACGTTTCTTTTTAATTAGAAACTTTACTAGGGAAAAGGCATGACTTCTTTTATTTCTTTTCTATTTTTTTTTATCCTCAAGAAAAAAGATGTTGGACAAGGATGATTCTTTGTAATCAGAAAGTCCAGTTTGACCTTACTAAATGTAGGAATATTTTGGGAGTGGATAGTCTTGCAGATCTCAGTAGTTGGAAGCAAAATAATGTGAAAGCATGTGAATTGTGTACCAGGTAAGAGAAAAACAATTTCTGATTTGTAAAAAATCATGGGAGTTTTTGCTAAAAAAAAAAAAAAAAAGGACAGTAAAAACCTAAGAATTGACTGCACCATTAACACAAAGGATTTATGTTATGTAAATCTATTTCCATGCCAGGCTTTAAATGCTATACTGCTCTAAACTAGCTGAAACTAAACTTAGTCCTCTAAATTAGGTGAAGATTGGTTTGTCCTCAGACAGCCTTGTGACAGAAGGAATGCATTTCCAATCATTATGGTAATCTGCTACATAAATTGAAAATTAAATTTCACGCCTTTCTCTATCCCTGAAACAAATACAGCAATCATTTACCTTGTCATTGACATTCTAGCAGTTACAATTTGATTTAAAACTGAATTAGCAATATTTAGGGTTTTTTTTACATTAAAAATAAGAAAATAAAACTGAAAATAGAAATCACCATAATGAAAAGACTTCATTATTTTATTTTTTTATGGAGGAAAGGTGCTGTGCATCACATGAAGTGAAATACATTTCCATCACTTTTAACTAAGGAAAAGCTTCATTTTCCACTCATAAATAGTATTTTTGCCTGTCTTCTTAGGAAAATACACACTGAAAAGAAAATCTGAATTGCTTATTATAGTTTTATTGTATGCATTTGAAAATATGAAGGCTACTTGGAAAGTAATGCCTGTTATTTCACTATGTTGTCTCATGACATCAGAGGCAGATGTTGGTATTTTGGTAGTAGAGGCTGAACCTCCCTGACAATATTGCATTACATTTTGTTGCTGTCAGACCAATGGCAACAGGGGAACATTCTGACACAAAGGAATCTGACATGGAAGTGTGGTGTATCATTCAATTTCTTTGTGTGGAAAAAATGGCAACCACTGACATTCACTGATACTTGCTAAGCTTTTATGGAGACCAAACAGTGGATATAAGCATAGTGAGACAATGGGTGGTGGGTTTCAGCAGTGGTGACAGCAATGTCAATGACAAGTTATGTTTTGGATGGCTATGAACAACAGTCACACCATGGAATGAAGAGTTTCTCGATTAACTCATCTGTGCAAATCAGCAGATTACAACTAGGGAACCATGTACATAGCTGAATATTATCTTCAGTGCATTGGAAACAATGATGACAACATCATTGCCACTATCTCAAAGTTTGTGTCAGGTGGGTCCCATGAGTGCTCAAATAGGAACAGAAAAAACACTATATACAGGTTTGTCAGGACCTCTTGAACTAATATGAGGCTGAAGATGATTGTTTCCTGGATCACATCCTGGATCACTACCACGAGCTGGAGTTATATTGGCAGTCCATAGAGTAACACGTGAATTGCTCATCAAAAAAGTCCCTCTGGGTGCCCAGCCAGTGCTGATAGTAAATTAGAAGAGGAATTCAGCACAACAGGAGAAATTTGAGTTGTCTTTTTCTGTGCTACTTCACATGGTTTTGGAACAGTAAAGCCCTTCACTACTTCTGGACTTCTTTTCGGTTGCATAGAGCTGCCATTCAGACTGCATGAGTGAAAAGAATGTTAAAACATACCAGGCCACATTGGAAGAGTATTCACCCAGGAAATATCCAAGTTTATCCCCAAATAACCCGAACATCCAAGAGTATCCATATTTGCATCCTTTATCACTAAGAAAATTGTGAGAAAGGACCAAACAGTAGCTTTTTGTTGTTGTTGTAGTATTTTTTTTATATTATTTTTTTAATAAAGTTGTTATGGCAGAAATCTGTCATTGGCACTGTGAGTTTAGTGTCCAGATGTCAGTTTGTTTATTTTTTTGTTCTTCTGTAACTCCTATACTTTACTTTGCTGTACTGTAGAATGAGAGCTATAGCAGTTCCCATTGTAATCTTAGTTTTAATATCATCTACACTGTGTCCTCTGACTATTTTGCTATTGAAGACAAGTACATCATGTTAGCCTTTTGCATAATGCGATTTAAAGTGGTCAGATTTCTTTCTTTAGTTAGTAATAACTATATAAGTGTGAAGTAGCTTTTTAAAATAAGTTCAGTTTTAATTTTGATTTTGAAGAAATGAACAGTGACATTCTCTTTTCACTCAAGTCTGTAGCAAACATTTCACTGACTTCAAGGAACCATTATACTATCCAATGTATGTGTGCACAGAAATACTACATTGCCTGAATTGATCACCTGCTGGGCTGTGTTTCAGACAACAGCTGTGACTGATAGGGGAAAAAGAAAAAGAGATGTTAAGAGCTGAGAAATTTAGCAGAAAATAATCCATTCCCTGTTTTGGAAATGTTACTTTTAACGGGTCCTATGGAAGCTATGACCTCTTTCAGGCTTCTGCCTTCTCTTTACCAAAGTCCACTTCTTTTAATAAACAATGAATGGATTTAGGACCTACCACTGCATTCAAAGCAGTTGCTGTAAATCATTATGTTCAAAAACACTAGGATGTTGTGCTGGCTCCAAGGATTCATTCACGCATACCACACTGCAGCCAAAGGTATCCTGAAAAGAGCCTTAGGAGAATACCTTAGTAAACACTGTGATCAGTTTTTCAAATTTATTCTGTCAGCAACCTTGTTAGCACTTCAAAGTATACGGAATTTTACTTTGAAGTAAAAAAGATAAATATTACTATAAAGAGAACTGAATAAATCTATTGATCACATGGAGGACTTACTGAACTTTTTAAACGTCCATGCTACAGTGAGTCGCAGCATCAAACTGTTGCTCTCTGTGGCTGTTGCTTTCAATTGAAGTTCAGCTTGGAGAATTATTTGTCACTTTCAAAGACAGACAGGAGCTCCTGATGGCTGGATTTCTGTTTCATACCTCAGAAAATAGCTTGTTACAGGTGAAAATCTCCAGTCTTTCCCAGAATGTGGTGCATAAAGTATTCCTCCCTCTTAAGAATTTTGGCAGTTGAATCTATAGAAATAATAGACAAAGTTGTTCTGACATACATTTCAGAAGATTTCTTGTTTGAATCCATTTGAGATGGCTATAGGAGTTTAAGTGTAATGGAAAAGAGAATTACTAGGAATTTCTTGTTTTGACTTCCTGAATTTCTGTATCTTTTGCTTTCTCATTCTCTACAGTTCAGACAGAATTAGTTTTTCTTCTAGCTTGTGATTTAAGTGAAACTTAAACTGTGTAGCTAGTGGACACGTGTCCAGAGTTTGGGAAGGCAGATTTCTGATTATGTTCTGACACTGTCATATTATCTACTAATATTTATATGATTCTTAAGATGCACAAGTAACTATTTGCAGAAAATGGGAAAAATACCATCCTATGGGTAACTTCTCTCTTTCTCTCTCTCATTTGTTTCTTACATTTAGATTATTTCAACACAAAGTAACTTTTTTCTATCTTTACCTACTACTTTGACAAAACCTTATTACCTGTTCTGTTGTCTGAAAATGTTGCTTGAGTCAAGGTATCTGCAGGACCTGGTTAGTGCTATGGTGCCATTTGCACGTGTGGGAGCTGAACTTCAGAGAGATCTTTGGGAGCAGCTGCAACTTTACCCTTTTTAACTGCTTTCTACTTACTTGAGTAACTGTACTTTCTGTGAAACTAAGTAAAGCAATTGTGAAGGAGATTAGACTATGAAAATATTTGATGGAGAAAGTGGACATGTATGACTTTGGTGTAACTTAGCTTTGATGTGCTTACCCATTCTTTTTCATTGGTGCAAAGGTTAAATCCATTAACTGGTGGTCTTCCAGTGTGGCTGACAAGGCATGATGAGCTCAGGCTAGCAAAACCACAAAGTACTTGATCTCTGAATGTATGACTTTTATTGTCAGCAGCAAAAGTGACTTGACTTTCATGTGTTCGCTCTACATGTGAGGAAATGAACATAAATTAGTAGCTACAGTCATTTCCTCTGGGTAAATCTATCTATCTGATCTTAAATACTAGAATGCTGAAAGGCTAATGGCTTGACTGGCTGACATGATGAACATCTACGGCTGTTTGTGAAGACAAAGGCAGGTCTCGCGTGCTCACTGTCTTTGAAAATCAGGTCACATCACCAGCAATGTCTTTATAAAGAATCCTCTTGATTTTAGGAATATTTACATAAACTTACACCAGGACAACAGCCTGATGTATCTCTTCAACATCTGAGTTTCTAAAAATTGAAAAGATTGAGCTTGTTTGCCTTCCAGGAAGCATTAGATGATAGGTGGAGTGTTTTTATCCCCAGTTCTTGAATGTGTCAGTGTTTTACATTTATATCTAAAGAAGCAGTATGTAGACCTTACGGTAATTTGTAGGAAATGAACACACATTTGAGGTTTTATAATTCACATGTGCTAACTTCCCTTGCCAGAATTGCAGTTTGGGAATAAAACAAACTCAACAGTTCATGCCTGAGTGATTATGATTTTTCTGTGTCACAGGATATTTGTAAACCTTTTACACAGCATGACTGTTTTAATTTTGTGTTTGTTTGTTTGTTTTTGTCTGTTAGGAAAATTTTTCACGTCAGTATTGTCATATTACTGGACAACCTTGCTAGAAAAGGAAAGCAAAATAATTTAATTAAAAGACTTTAAGATGTCACTTCATGTTCAGCAATTAACAGAAAAAGAATGGTTAAGATTAGAAAACTTCAGACATCTTACAATGTGAATATCTATGGCAAACTCTTTGGATGTTGAACCAGATACATTTTGTTTATATATTGTTTTAAGTGAGCAACTTAGCTAAATATTGATGTTTTATGAGTTACATTTTTGTAGTATGTAGCACAAGGACAAACCCATAAATAAACATGATACTTGCATGTGGAGAAAAGAAATTTTGAAATGATTTGTCTCTCTGGCAATTGCAAATCAGGAGTTATCAGGGGACTGACAAGTTCAAGGCTCTTCCTTAGGTCTGGGAAAGGCTTCTTTGCTGTGGATTCTTAGGGTAGAATTCTGGCAACTTGCTCAGATCCCAGAGCTCTATAGAGG